GCTCCACGTAGCTACTAATTTTTAAACTACCAATAAAGATACGAGCAAGGCCTCACCTTAATACCAAAAAAAAAAAGAGATTCTATTACCTCTTTTATTTTCTATACTGTGATCTTCTTGATTAAGATATAATTTTATTTTTCTGATACTGTTTGATTAATTATTTAAAATTCAGCTATAGCATCTAAACTTACTTCATTTGATTTATATAATTGTTCATATGTTTTCTTTGTGTATTGGAAAACATTTAAAGAAGTTGAGTCCACTACTTTGTTTTGAATGCATATTTTAGATGTCAAGCTTATTTTATGATAAGACCTATATTTAGTAAAGAAATACTTAGTTGAACATTTCTCTTCTTCTATCCAATGTGAATTGGACTGAATTTGCTACTTTTCTGCAAGGAGTGTAAGCTTTTCTTGCAGATTTACTTGTAGTTTTTCTATTACTATTTTGAGTTCCTCTCTTTAGAATACATTATTACTTTTTCTTGCAATTCTGCAATTCTTTTATGTAGCTTGTTGATCTTTTTTTCAGAAGAAAACCAAGGTTTATATTGTCTGATTTTTGCTTGTATTCTGTTTTTAAATATATTCCATGTATCTATTGTTATATATTCTTGTAACTCCTCATCAATATCTTTTTTAATATTAACATTCATTAAATATTTGGTGTTAAACTTTCAATATTAGGTGTATTAAACTTTTGGCTATATGTTAAAACACTTTCAATCAATAAGTGGTCTGAGTTTTCAAAGAGTGTTTGTGTATTCTGACAAAATTCAATATGATCATTGTCAACAAAAATATAATCTAATCTAGTTGTCATTAGCTAATTATTTTTTGTTTTCTGTAAGTATGTTATAAATGGATATTCAGAATAATTTGCTGTATTTGTGTACTCTATCATCTTCTAATAGAATTTAGTTAAAAAAGAATCATTGTGCACTGGTGCTTGACTAATTCTATTTATTTGTAGGTCTGTATTAATATTAAAATCTCCTGCTATTACATTTATTATATTTCCATCAAGATCTGAAGACCAATTGTCAAAGAATCTAACCCTTTCAGTCACATAAAGTGTATAAATATTTGAAATTTTACAAGTAATTTGTCTAATTTTTGCAATATCTGAAATAACTCTGCCATTATGACTTTCTTTTAAATTCATTAATTTGACTTTGTAATTGCCTACTAAAATAGCTGTTTTGGAAATTCAAAAAGATTTGAAGGACCATTGTTGTTTTAAAAACTCCTGCATTTTAACTTTCCTTAGATTTGTTTCTTGAATTAAAATTAAAAACTATATTATATGATTTTTGTAAAGTAAGTGCTTTTATGCATTTTTGTCTATTATTTAATCCTTTAATGTTCAATGTTGCAATTGTAAAAATATTTTTATTCATGAAGATGATAAGAATATAATTAATAATAATACTTACTACTTCCTTTAGAAATAGAATAATCTTCTCCACCTTTATTTTTTTTATATGAAGTATGTCTGTCATGTTATTGTTCTCTTGCCAAAGAGGATCTGGTACTTCTTTTTTTGTGGGTTACTACAGTAAACTCTTCCTCTAGCTGATTACTCATTTTCTGATCTTCTGAATAGTTGCTATATGTTATCTCTGCTAAGTATTGTTTATTAGCTTGCATAGTCTTATTTTGCATATTTTGAGCCTGTTCTTGCTCTACCTCATTGTCATGACTTCATTGTCTACTTTTTGGCTTTCAGACTGTATACATTCTATTTCTTCCTTATTGCTACCTCCCTTTATACTAGTTTGATTTTGCTCTATCTTATTTGAAGCCCTATAATAGTTATTATGTATATTTGAGAATGCAGATCCCATGTTACTGCTTTTATTTCTTTGACTAATTCTAAATTCTTTATAATGTTTTCTCAGTTTTATAGCCTTCTTAAACTGCAAGCAATCAGCTTTTATATAACCTTCTTTATCACAGTAAAAGCAAATTTTTAGTACTGCTTTCCATTCTATTATAACTTTTTGATTCCAGATATGAGTATGTTAAGAAAACCTTTCTGTCAATAATGAATATTCAGTGCTATCATAAACAACAACCTACTGGTTTGACAAAACTGAGTACCCTCATATACTAGAGGCTTAATTGACATAATGGTTCCAAAGTCTTCTATTGCTGTCTTAATATGTCTAGAGATAAATTTCTTTTCACCCAATGGAACATTACATAATTTGACTAAAATGATTATTCTTTGCATATTGGTTAAAATGTATCTAAAGAGCATCTACTTGAAAATAATAATTTCTTTTACTGCATGTTTTTGTAAACTTTTTTGTCCTTTAAAATAATTTCTAGATCAGATCTTCATCTTTTGGCAAAGTGTAGATTCGCAACAATAAACTTGTCATCTAATTAGTTATATAGGGCAAGTATAATTTCATTTAGCAGAATATTTATTAAATTTTTAATATCTATAATTAATGTATTATCTTTTTTTGTTTTAATTCTTCCTTTAACAGAGGCTGCTGTAAATATGACTTTGCTTTTTTGTATTTTTGTAAAGAGTCTAGACTATTGCTTGTTGAGATGTTCTGTTTTTTTTTTCTTTACTGGTTATTATTTTTCTTATCTTCTATTTGTAATGTCTTTAAATCTGCTTTAATTGTTCCTTTTGAATCTCCTAACCCAACATTACTTATTACTGCATCAGGATTTATTTCAGAAGCTTTTATTTAATCTACTGTAAGATCTTCTGATCTTTTACTATTAGGCAAGAATGTACTTTTAGTTGT